CCCTGAGAGCCCTGAGCAGAGTTAAGGATCAGGGGCAGGGTCCTGAGAGCCCTGAGCAGAGCTAAGGATCAGGGGCAGGGTCCTGAGAGCCCTGAGCAGAGCTGAGGATCAGGGGCAGGGTCCTGAGAGCCCTGGACAGAGCTAAGGATCAGGGGCAGGATCCTGAGAGCCCTGAGCAGAGCTGAGGATTGGACCGTCCGTTTCTTTGTGTCTTCAGCACTCTTGGCCCTGTCTGGTACAGACCTGGTAGTAAATGTTTTTTTAATAAATGAGTAATTAACAGATGATTTTATAGGCAGAAGAACTGACGTGGGCAAAAGAAAGAAAACCCGTACATGTATTCTGGCATAGGGGCCGTTTTGGAATTAGGCTTGAAGGGGGCAGATGACAAGTGACCAGGGACCTTCTGACTCCTGCAGGTGATCAGTGAGCAGACTCTGTGGGGAGTTCGCCTCTCCGGCCACTCTGAGGGCGCCGTGGAGGACGGGTTGAAACTAGGGAGATGAGACAAAGAAGGCCTTACAAGCTGTTGAAATAATCCAGATGCAGACTGACCGGGGGCGGGGCCAGGTGGGGGGCACTGTGCAGGAGAACAAAGGAAGCTTGATCAGTGGACATTCAGGCAGCAGCATTGCCACACCTCCTAACCAACCCCTTATGCAGGGAGGAGTAGGGTAGGTCAGTGGTGCAGCCATCAGTGTCAGAAAGGAATGAAGAACAGACCAGTTTAAGGAGGTGACGAGATCAGCAAGTTTCAGGTGCCCGTGGGGATCTTAGCTGGGCATGTCCCCCCGCCGACACTCACAGAAACGGCCTTGTCTGGAGACGGGTCTGGGGATCATCAGTGTGTAAACAGTTGGCTCTGTGGAAAAGGCTGTACAGTTGTGTTGTCCTTGGGGACATGAACGTGCAGGAATCCAAAAAGTGAAAGTCTTTGTGGTTTCTAATGACGTTTCTATATGAACTCTGCATTAAAATATATAGATTTTATCATGTCCAGTAATTTTAACAGAGATTTACTGAGCTGAGACTCCCAATTCCACAGAGCATATACTTGGAATAGCTGCGAAGTTGCTGGCCAGGCCTCGTCGGCCACTTCTTGTCTTTTACTTGCCAAAATAAAGAGCTGCCTGCCAAGGTGAAGCTGCGTTTTGAAAGGTTGCGATGTATGTAATAGCTTTTGCATTATTTATTATAAAAGATACATATTAAGTTCCAATCACTTTCTTTCATACTTTTAAACAGTCGGTTCTTAAATTGACTCTTGCCGTGAGACTAATAACCCTCAGAATACCTAGGTCAGCATCGCCCTGTGTCCAGTTACATGGCTGTGCTTACCCTGCAGCCCCAGGACTTTTACACCTTCTGAGAATCAATAATACTCATTTTAGTAATTTTATAAACTTGTAATTGTTTGTAATATATAAAAATATCATAAAGTTTTAAATGAACATTTTTCTTAGTGAAACCCCACTTTTTAAAGATATAAAACCAAAGACCAAAGCTCTGAGTCATGTCGTCACCAGGCCAGATGATTATCACTCATCATGCTTTGTGTTTTCTTTTCCAGTGTCATAGCTGCAGCATTTTAAATCATTTACCTATAGCTGCAGCATTTTCTCTTTTTGAGACAGAGTCTCACTATGTCCCCCTCGGTAGAGTGCTGTGGCATCACAGCTCACAGCTACCTCCAACTCCTGGGCTGAGGCAATTCTCTCACCTCAGCCTCCCAAGTAGCTGGGACTACAGGCGCCCGCCACAAAGCCCGGCTATTTTTTTTGTTGCAGTCGTCATTGTTGTTTAGCTGGCCCAGGCCAGAGGCAAAACCTGCCAGCTCAGTGTATGTGGCTGGAGCTGTAACCACTGTGCTACAGGAACCAAACCAGCTGCAGCATTTTTAATCATTTATCTCATATCCATCTGTGCAGTAGAAGGAGTTATATGCTAAAAATATGAATATTTCAAATAATTTATCAATATTAGTAAGGTCGATGGATAATACGTATATTCAGCATTTCATAGTGGGAAAACATTTGCTATATGAATTTTCCAACTAATATTAATACATTTTAATATAAACAAATCAGTACTTAGTTTAAAAAAAACTTCCAAAATAAAAATTAGAGTGAGAAAAAACTAGAGAAGAGAGGATGAAAAGGGGAATCCCCAGCACGTTTAGTATTTGCATTTCGCAATGACAACTTGGAACATTTTCAAGAAGCCACAAAACAAACCAATCTGGATTTAATCTGTTCCTCAAATAAATACATTTTGGTTTTCACTAGTGAACCAAATCAATAAGACAGAGTATTCAAAACAAAAAGTA